AAAGAACAATTGGAAGTAATTGTTAGATAAATATGACGTGTGGGTAAATGTATCACGCGTTACGTCGAAAGCATTAAATTGTTACTACAAATGTCCGATGTTATGTATAATTTTTTAAACATTTTCCAGCTGATCGTAAATATTAATTCAAAAAATGATATCGATGTCAAATAATTAGCATCGCATAGCACAACATTATCTGATATTGAAAAGGTCATTTTCCCATGTTTATTATATTTAAAAAGATTTTGATATTCAAATTTAATTTTTTCAATTGTTATTAATATTTTTAACGTTTTAACCTGATTTTTAACCCCTCTGTTTAGTCATGCTAATTTATTCGATAAATTAATTCGAAATCTTCATTTTGATGGGAAATTCCAAAAATATGCAATTGCATTTCATTATAAAAATATAAAATATTAACAATCTCGAATTTTATAAATAGTTTTAACGCCTGGTTACTTATTACACTTAATGTTAAGAAAGTGACATGATAAAAATACCTTCAGCAATTCTTTGTTCGGCCGTGTATATTCGGCACTTTCTCTGCACTAGACACCAAACATCCTGCTAACAAATTCATTAAAATCTCGCCTTCATTAATTTCCAACATCTGAACGAACGTTTTCCAACAACGGAATGCGAACAATAAAGCTCAACAATGTTGTTTATTGTTATATTAAGTTTGATGAATTGTTTAATAATTTTTGACGGAAATGCACTTTAACACTTAATAACACAGACTGATAGAATAACAAACCTACAACTGATAGAATAACAAACCTTATAAATTACATAATATGGAATAAATTTTATAAACTCTCAAAATTTGTAATTTATTTTATTTAATTTTATATCCATCAGAATTTGAATTAACGATTGATACACGATTGATCTCGCCAGATAAATCAGACAATTTAAAGATTTGTCTGATTCATCTGGCGAGATCTGCAAAATTGATGATAAAACGCAACGAACGGCAGATTGGTTACGGTGGTAGTCTAACGTTTTGGGGTCACGGGTTCGACTCCGGACGGGTCGACGAATTCTAGGAACTTTTCAGGGTTGGTCAGTCCTAATATGCCGGGCATCATTCCTTATCATCAGGCTGCCTCATTGCGGGTCTAATCAAACATTTGTTATAAATTACGGTGTGTCATTGTGACGTTACCACAATAATTTTTTCGATTTTTTATTAATAAAATCTCATAACAGATAGCGTCATACACAAATTTAACTCTTAAAGATGAGGCATGAAAAGTGCTATAGTACTGAAACTGTATTTTTTAAGAAAATGTTTTTGCGTGTTCTAAAATATCACCATACCAGATTTGGTTGCATTTGAACTGCCAGATATCTCTCTAGACAGCATTGAATAGGAATGCTTTAATCTTGATTTCCTTAATAATAATTTTAATTCAAATATTATCTTATTAATAATGAAATTTTAAAATAGTTTGAAGTAGGCTATTATTACATTTTTATGCTTAATGTGAAATATATAAAGTGTCTCCAATACGATTTTGTCGTTAAACGACCGAGAAATTGGAAGAATTTAGCTGAAAAAGGAACTTTATAGATTTGAATAATTCATTTCAATAACCATTCGATTGTGAAAATCATTCAAATACTATTGACTACTTAAAAGCCACGAAAGCGAATATTATATATATATATATATATATGGGGGCATTGATCAAAAAGCATGAAACATATTCTGTGACAAGTTCTTTATATAGGCTATTTAAGAAATCATATATATAATTTCCGATTTTGTTAATTTAGTATAACGCTTTGTGAATTTGTATTATGTAATTAATATATTTACTTATACTTCGTACAAAGAATTGTAGGAATAACACGAAAACCAACTCTAAGAGACTGGAACCTGTTCGGCTTCCCAATAACATTTTAAGTTGTACAGGAAGTGAAGTAAAAATTTCCTCAAAAAACAAAAAACGAAAACGAAAGTTTGGGTAAAGTTTTAAATGTTGCTCCTTTTTCCGAAGGCTATCTTTTAGTTCAACTGTTATGAGTTTCGAGTTGTCTTTGGGATATTCAAAAAACAATAGCACTACAAATTTTCCAAAGAACATTTTTGCCTAGAGTTTATTTACAGATAAAAGAAGGAATATACTGTATATATACAAAACTGATAAATTATTTAGAGATGCACAAAATTTCACCATACCAAACTGACGTGTGTACAGTCTTGAAAAATAGGTCATGCCCCTCGTGCATGACCTCAGCTCCTTATGGCTGTAGAAGCTTGTTGGAGAGAAATCCAGGTTCTACGGAATATATTCCCAAATCCGATATTGACGTCGAACTGTTTCGTCGTCACTGTAGACTTGTCCAGGATATCCGCAACCCAAGGCTTCTAAACTGGTCGAGAGCCCGTCTCTTCTACCAAAATCTTAGTCCCCTCGGACTTCCGTTATTGTTTCCTACTTACCTTCTCTGGAGCTTGACTTATCCAATCTTCCCCTTCTTTTTACGTCTTTCCTTTTATAGACTTTTCCTGCAAAGATTGATGGCGATGTCCGAACTCACGTGATTACCACTTACGCAGCGAACACATAGACATTCTGACAAGGATGTAATTCTTTTGGTGTGGACTTTCTTTAAAAATATCTCTGTATTTTAAGAGTAGAAAAAAAAACGAAAGTAAAAGTGAAGATTCAAGGTTCAAGGTTAGACCTTTCAAAAGGTTCAATAAACAAAATTTGTGGTATGAATACAAAGTAGTTTATGACGATGAATATAAAATAGAAGAAAGATATTTGAATTTCTTAAACCATCGTTTTAACATATTGAATAAACAACCAGACAGATATGGGTCAAAATTTGCAATAGAAACAGAATATTTATTTATTACTAGATATACCCGAACAAAGAAGTAAGAACAATAAGCACTAAAATGAAAACCATATTAAGAGCTTGGTTATTCTAATCTTATTTCGTCCACTAGTACGTATTTTCTATTAACAGGATTTATTGAACTGACTTTAAGGATAATGCAACTCAGTTTCACAGATTATAAAATTTTTGTTTTATCTAATTTATTTAATTTACAGGTAAATTAAATAAAACAAAAATTTTATAATCTATGAAACTGAGTTGCATTATCCTTAAAGTCAGTTCAATAAATCCTGTTAATAGAAAATACGTACTAGTGGAAGAAATAAGATTAGAATAAATTAAGGACATTAAGGCATATTAATTTAATTGGTTATTCTAGCCTACCGTTGTCATGTTTATTACGAAGTGTTAAATAAATTATATTAAAAAAGAAAGTTAGTAGTGTCTTTCCCCTATACATCATATTTTACCTGTTAGCAATAGAGTCGTGTCAGTCATCTATCAATACATTTCAAGGAAAAATTTTTGAATCGGAATAACGTAACCTCTGATTTTTTATGGAAGTTAATGTACAGTTAATCAGATCTTTCTGCCCCTAATATTTCCACATCCAGTTTCGGCTTTCAATTGATTAACTCTATTCTCTAGATTACGGAACGACAGACAGAGGAAATATATAGTTCTATAATTTTTTCAAATTGCAGTCCAATAAAAACAAATGAACAACCAGATTTCGAGGCAAATTTAGTTGATTATGTAAATAGGAACTGATGTTTTTCAACAGAAGGTAATCATTGTCTTCGTCTGCACGAGAAGATAATTCAAGACATCAAATTTTTTTAAAAATTAGGCTAATTTTAACGTACACCATTCACAAGCGAATATGAAATGTTAATCGTCCAACCAATCAAATTTCGGGAAAAATGAACCAAATATTTAAACTAGTAACCCTCGAAAACCCATAAAAACATATTTTATATTGGCTGATCACTTTATACTTAAGTAATTTTTCAATTCGAATGTTACCATCTGATTAATCAGATAGAAAGGGGTCTTTCTATCTGATCAATCAGATTTTTGCTAGCAGGGATTGAAGTAATTCTACTAAAAGTAATCTTTAACCTTCTCCTAGAAGAGAGGATGGTCACTGAAAAGTTTCATTGTATTTGCTCAAACGTGTCGAAATTTATTAATAACAAATAAACCTTTCTTTATACGCTAATTTTTTAAATTTATAACTAATATTTAAAATATTTATATTTCGAATTCTTGTATATGTTATTACTTTTATACAAGTAATTAGACTAAAAACAAAAATTCAAACACAATTTGCCCTATTGTAATTTATCCAGTCTTATTTTAAAATAACGCAAGTACGCTTTTATAAGTAAAAATAGAAATAAAAAATAAATATTAAATAAAATAAAATTTAATTTAAAGCAATACGTTCTATTTTCATTCAAGATTTAAAAAGAAAAAATTAACAGATTAATATAAATACTTTATATTTACCTATTAAGATTTGTATTTCGTATTATATCAGCATAAATAAATATTATTTTATAAAAATTTAAATTGTGTAATTGTTAAATAACTTGAATGGAAAGAATGATAGGTTTTAACCTCAATTTTTAATAGTACAATGAAACTTACAGTGACCACCTGAGTAAGGTGATCACTGAGCTGATTCTTTCAGTTGTCACATTAGCAGATTTCACTGTATTATGGCTCTTAAAAGTTCATTTTACATCATCTCTCATCAATCCTTAGTAAAATATTTTCGAATTTGCTGATAAAATTTCATTTTAAAACAGAGTTTGAATTATATTTTTATAGTACGACTTAACTTTCCTTATTTTTTAAAGTTATAATAAAACTTTACGGTTTTGAAAGCTGAATTATATTAATAAAAGAAAATTAACAAATGTGATCACGTTGTCCTTGTGTTTTAAGTGTTACTCGTACTGTACATTAATTATTTCAATGAAAAGTAAAATTTATAAAATTTATCGATGAAATGTAAATGAACAAAATAAAAGTTTATTGATAGAATTTATACAAATTATGTTTTTTTTTTATAAAAAATTGTCAGGTTTTCATATTATTTTACATAAAACTTTTCCACATAGATTAAACTCAGAAAAATTTGATGTAGTTTTATGACCACAGACATTTGCAAAAATATTTATTTACATTAATTGTCATAGAAATAAATTTTTACATGACTTATTAATTATATAAAAATCTTAAGTAGCAAGTCGAAAAGCCTATTGAAATCTCTAAACAGTATTTATAAGCAAATTTTGATATAATACACAACATGTTCTACATTATCTTTATAACTTTAGACACCAATAATCAGGAATCAAAATATTTTCATGTAGATTTTTGTGTGTGAAACATAAACTCACAAGGTTTTAGTATGAATGTATCTTTTTATTTAGAGATGGATCCTTAACTGATGATAAAAATTTGGAGTGAAGTCAAGTCTCCACAGTGTGCCACCCTTCATCGAGGTACTAATATTCATTCATTCACCTGTAAAGGGTAAATATATCGAGTTATATTGACCTTTGTAAATAAAACTTTGAAAGCTTTTCATGTAAAAAAAACTGTAAGTTTCTGATTTTTGTGTTGATGTCTGAAGTTATAATTACAATTTGTGGAACAATGTATTATAGCGTGGAGATGGAATTACATTACTCTTTCATGAGTTCATTATGCAAGAATAAAACATATAAATATATAATTACATTCGTTGACACATAACAATTATGATTACATATAAAATACTAATTATTTCGTGTCATATAAAACGCTATAATACTGAAATTCTAATAATCTGATGCCAAAATTATTATTTGTACAAAGCTGATTAATTTATTATAATGTTAATGAATTGCAGTTTAGATTTTAATAATGATCTTGATGAAATTGCAAAAATTATAATTTAATAAGGAAAATATTTACACCATACTTTCTAATGCATTTATGAACGTTAATTATAAAACATATGAAAATAATGAACATATAGGCTATAAGTTAACATTATCTGCGAGCTACTGTATTATTAAATTAAGAAAGAAGCAAAATCTTGAACATAAACCTTCTGTATTAAAATATATACTACTAGTTTACCATTCTTTCTTAAAGTTATGATAAGTGAACAATCGATAAAATATATATTTTCCATGTAAAATGTAGTTCTTTGACCACATATCTAAAATTTCAATAGGTGTGTGTAGCCATTTTGTTTTCATGATAAATTTAATCTTAGGACACGAAATTCCTAGATATTTTGAAGAAATTCAAAGAGCTGGATAGATGAATCAATTACAGAATATCTTTCATAAATTTCAACATTTTTTTACATTATCTCAATCATTTAAATTACATTAAAATAAATATTTTCTTTATATACATATGTATTTTCATCTTGTGTATTAGTTTTGTTTAACAAACCGCTCATTTCGTCGCACTGAACATTTTCTCTGTTATGATTTTCTATATTATAAAGTAAAATTATAAATAAATTATTTAAAAAAATAAATATAAATTTTATATATACTTGACACATACCTTCTAAATCGCTTTCGTCATCACAATTAATAATTTCATTCGGTGATGCAGGCCGAAGAGACAAATATTCCTTCAATAAATATGAAAAATTTTGCTTATATATTTTATAAGATATAAATGAAAGCAGAATTTGCTTACTTACCACAGTCTCTTGCAACATGAAATAAATTATTTAAAAAAATAAATATAAATTTTATATATACTTGACACATACCTTCTAAATCGCTTTCGTCATCACAATTAATAATTTCGTTCGGTGATGCAGGCCGAAGAGACAAATATTCCTTCAATAAATATGAAAAATTTTGCTTATATATTTTATAAGATATAAATGAAAGCAGAATTTGCTTACTTACCACAGTCTCTTGCAACATGGTATCAAATATTTGGACTAATTGTCTGAAGGAAGGTCTTTCGTGAGGATTCTGCTGCCAACATATTAGCATGATTTTATGCCTGGAAAAATTCGATTATAGCATGATAAAATGTTTTTTAATCGAGAAAATTCAAAGCCTTTCTTACAATTCTGGGGAACAATTTGCCGGTCTTCCCATACGATAACCTGATTTCAAAAGTTGAAAGAGCCTTTCAGGTGTTATTCCCGGATAAGGCGATGCACCTGTTTAGTTAAATAACAAAATTTATTGATAGAGAAACGAGAAAAATTATGTTATTAAATTAATTACATAACTATTAAGTATATACAGTAAAACCTGTGTAAACCGGAATTGCACGGTAACTAATATTTTTATGGTTTGACAGGTTTCTGTTTTAGACGGGTTCTATTGTATTTTTATGCTATTTTTATGAGTATTAAAGCAAGATGTTTTGTTATATAATTATAGTGTATACAAAGTTGCAGAATAAACAAATACTGGATTTTTAAAATTTAGCTTACAAAAGTCTTATAAAATTTCTGTGAAAGAACTTCATTACGTCTTAAGTACAGTACATTCATTTATTTTTAATTATTTGCTGTAATTTAGAAAATTATTATACGCTACGAAATATTTTTTGTTTATGCAGGTTTCTGTTTTATTCAAGTTCAGTCTTAGATAGGTTTTATTATATTATATAAGAATTCATGTTATCATCTTTTCTACATTATACAGTATACAGTACATTCATTTATTTTTAATTATTTGCTGTAATTTAGAAAATTATTATACGCTACGAAATATTTTTTGTTTATGCAGGTTTCTGCTTTATTCAAGTTCAGTCTTAGATAGGTTTTATTATATTATATAAGAATTCATGTTATCATCTTTTCTACATTATACAGTATATCGATTATTAATTTTATTCAAATGTATTACTGTACCTAACGTAACTATTTCCCATAAGACTACACCAAACGACCACCTAAAGAAAAAATAAATAAATTTAAATATAAGGGATATTCACTTAAACTTTAAATTAATAAAGTAACAGTTTTTCAAAGTTAATTTTCACATACACATCACTTTTAGTAGTGTAAATATGATCTTCCAATGATTCCAAAGCCATCCATTTCACAGGTACTCTTCCCTTTAAAGAAAATTAAATTCAATTAAATACAAATACATAAATATATAACTTAAACAAAGAGATTTTATTTAAATGCAGCTTACTTTACTCCTTTTTAAATACGTATCTCCTTCATAAATATCTCTACTTAAGCCAAAATCCGAAATCTTAATGATATTTCCTGCAGCTATAAGCACATTTCTAGCAGCCAAATCTCGATGCAACAGCTGTAAAAAATTATAACTTAAATCAGAAATATTAAAAAAAATATTATAAATAACAGAAATTAAATTAGCGTGACGATATTATTCAAATTTGTTAATGAAAAATTTCGAGAAACCTTCATATCACTCAAGTATGCCATTCCTTTAGCAATCTGCCAAGCAAACGATAATAAATCTTTTTGACTGAGTGCCGAACTACCATTTTCATTTTCAAAACTGTAAATAGGATTCCAAACTGTATGGATATTTTCTGATATAGGTCTATCGAATGATAATTTGCGCCGATTTCTTAGATAACTTCTCAAGGATCCATGTTCCGCATATTCCACAATTATATATAACGGACCACCTATAAAATATTTCATATTTTAAGATAATTATGAAAAAAAATTATAAGTTCTATATAGATTATTACAAAAGTTACCTTTTTGTGTGCAAGCCCCTAATAGTCGAATAACATTAGGATGAGATATTTCTTTCAACATATTGAACTCCGATAATAAGTCTTGTTGTTCGATTATGGTTCCATTTGCTATAAAACAATTCACTTATGTAATTAAACAACAACAACATTTATTTATTATTATTGTAAAATCACATTACTTTTTAACATCTTTACGGCAACAGTTGTATGTTCTTGAGTTCCATTGATACCCCAAGCTCGAGCTTTCATCACTTTGCCAAATTCTCCTTCTCCTAATGTTTGTTCTAGTTTAAGATTTTTACGAGGAAATTCCCATTTTAGATCGACCTAAAATCGTAAATAAACTATTTAATTATTTATAGAAGTGTTTCTTTCCTACAAATATTAAAACATTTCCTAAGTTTATGACTTTTTTAAAACGCTTTCTTCCTGTGAGCATTAAGATGACTTATTTTTTAGCAAGCTCATTGTGAGTCGGCCATGCTATAATGGGACTACTGGATGGTAGAAATTGGGCACTAAAAAATATGTATTTTATTGAACTTACTTTTGCTTCGTTTACGTTAGGGAATTCAACAGAGGAAGAATGTTCATCTACATAATTAGATAACACAACAGAAGGCATAGGACTTCCCACACATTTAGGTTTTTTACGATTAATTCTCCATCTTTTAACCCAATGATAGGCTAGAAATCCCATAAACGATACAAAAACCACAGACGCACATAAAAATATTCCTGCAACGCAACCCGTTCCACAAACGGTACCATCTGAAAAATAAATCCTATCTCAATGGTACTATTATTTATTCATTTTTTATTATATTTACCATAAAATACCAATAACTAAAAATGTTTCTTTTTTCTTTGTCACTGAAATACCATGTTCTGATCCAGTTTGAATAAGGCTAGACTCTTTCCTCTTCTTATCAAAAACAGTTTGTGAGTTTTTAAGTCTGTCTATAGGTTTTAACCTGTTTTCGTAATATGAATCACTAGTACATTGGCAAGTATTGATGCTACTACAGAAACAAGTATCATACGCTTCAATTATACCCATATTTGTTAAGGGATTTATATTTCCTCCGACAATCTCCTCTGAAATTTATAATGACATAGTTTAGATTAATATTTATTTACTTTTTAATAGAAAGAAAAGAATGTCTGCATAATCTCACTCACTAGCACAATCTTGTGGGCACAGGTTTTTGTCAAGTGTTTCAAGTTCGTCACAGATTCCATCTGGACAAGTCTTCAAATCGGGACTACACGTTGCGTAGTGCGAAGATACGGGGGGAGCTAGAATGTTTCATTGAAATTAAAATTAAAAAGGAATTCAATATAAACTGTAAGGACATTTTTTTAAAAAAAAATTTACTTTTATTTTTAGGATAGTCAACTCTTCTAAAATTTCTCCACATACAAAGACCGGTGTAACTTCCAATTCCACAAGTAGAGGTGCATAAAGTTTCATTTGTAGAGGAAGAACATAAGTTATCTGATTAGAAATGGTTTAAAAATGTATAAACCTCTACTTTACATATGCGTTTAACATTTTAGAAATATTCTTTACTTCACAACTGGGTGCATATTAGATATTGGGCATCTTTAACATCACTGTTAACTTACTGCTATCTACTTACTATCACACATTTACTGTTAAATATGCCCAGGTCTACCTATGCACCCAGTTGTGAAGTAAAGAATGATTAAAAGAAGACAGGTTTCGGAATAAGTCATTTTAAGAATATTTTATTGACTTACCGCATGTTAAATTTGATTTATTCTGAGCTGAAATTATATATTTAAATGCAAATCAGTTAAGAATTTCTTAAATAAAAAAAAAAAACAGTGTTAAATTAAATACCTGTTTTTGTAACGTTAACAAAAATTTCGGTGCTTCCGCTATCGTTTACTGATATCCAAGAAAGATTCAGATGATAAAATGAAGTAGGAGATGAAGTAAATGCTCTCTCATTCATTAAATATATAATTCCAGTATGAGTTGTTGTAGCAAATATTTTTTTCCTCGAATTTAAATGAATAATTTGAAAGGTATATCCATCTTCCGGATCAAGGTCGAATGGTTTAATTACCTGGTAGTTATTTTAAAGAAAAATTTACTATTTATTTTAAATATAATTAATAATTTTATTTAATTTTAACTCACTCTCGAATGTAAAACCATCTCGGAAGATACAGTTGAGTAATATACATTTTCTGGCACAAGATTTTGATTTTTAGTAAAGTTATTAATTTTTATAAAATCGATCACCTGAAATTAAGAAATATTTTAAAGATTTTTAAATTAAAAACACCATAAACATTATTAATACATTTTATTATTATAAAAAATATTAAAATTTCTATTTTTGGGAGTGTTTTATAGGTTATATAAAGCATTAGTTTGAAATTTTTCGTTAATAGAATACTGTGCAATACAGGTTTTAGAGTATGATAACAACCTTATTGCTGCCATCTCCAATATACCCAATATCTTCGAATATAAGGCTAAAGTTATATTGTGTTCCAGGAAAAACAAAATGGCGAGCAGTTTGAAGTTCTAGAAAAATTTGAGAATTATTTTATTTTATGATTACATATTGCAAGATGTAAACTTAAAATTACTTACCGACATGTATAAATGTTGCACAATCCTCAACATTTTCGTGTATGAATGTTTTCTTAACCGAAAAGAGATTTAAAGAATCGTTTTCGATTTTTACAGATACGTTATTTGATTGGGAAGAATCTTTATCACAAACTGTAAACATAAAAGGAAACAATTTGCCCTGAAAAAGAAATAAAATAATTATTAAAATTTACGTTATACCGTTATCTTTCTCGAGATTTTCAAGAGTTTAAAGTGGATAAAACTACTGAACACTAATCGCGGGTTCTCACTTTATCAACTTGTACGTGAAGTTTACCTGATTTTTCTCAGTCATACGTTATTTCCTATATCTAAATAGAACCAGTTTACCCTAGAAAGTCCTTCTGGATCCTTGGCGATCTGCCAAGGAGGATACCCCCTCCTTGGCAGATCGCCACGTGTTGCGTTTCCGTATCACATCAAACTAATAGTTTAACAATAAAAAAGATAAAATATGTTATAATATTATACGATGTTTTGAAATCCATGTTTGTTTTTCATTAAATGATGATGATATTCGATACAGAAATCCTCGTTTCATATATATAGTGTATTATCAAGTAAACACGTATTAAAATGATCGATCGATTTTTTTCAACTTCTGTTTACTTTTGTTTATGAAAAAACGGTTTATTTACTAAATATTATTCTATACAAATATATTGCAACATCTCATGAATAAATTTAATACTAAAAATATCGTATCTTTACGTTTGAATTGGAAAACAAACTTATTATAAAACTTTTATGGCATCATTTATGGAGATTTGTCCTGGTTTTGTATTTATGAGAAAACTAAAAATTTTATCAGTTGTGTTAGCACAATTGGAAATAAAACATCGTTTCATTATCAGCAAAAGTGTATTCAGCATAGTCTATCTGTGAATAATTTGTTTGAATGTTATAAAAAAATTCTGTTTTTAAAATGACAATAGCAACTGTTGACAAGTTTCCCTTTTGAATTGATCATAAAAAATGTTTGAAATAGAAATTTCAAAAAATATGCATTTATTTCTGTTATAAATACAGTTAGAAAATAACTGAAGTTACGATTCTTATATCTATTCAATAACAGAATTATATTGAAGTAAATAAATAACTCACAGATGTACCTTAGCATTAATGTATACACACTACTGGTTGTATTTCTCAGCTATTTGTTTACTCTTATTCTTCTTCATTATAAATACTCACTGCCCGAACCTTTTTCAGTTGATTCTCCTGCATCACTGAACATGAACAGGTAGAACTACTACAATATCAGCAAAAGCAGACTGATAATCTGAGAAGTCTCTTTCTTCAATTAAACTCTTTTTTTTTCTTTTTTTCAAGCTCACCTATGCTACTGATAATTTTCATTTTATTATCAAATGATATAGGTTTGTTCATATATATATACTATTGTCTTAACTCATATATCTGAAATCATTGAGAAGTCTCCTTTTTAATCTCACTGCTTCAAATTTTAACTGTTTAGCATTGAATTATTAACATAGTGAGTTGCCTATTGTTTTATTTTGACATTTTAGAACCACAAGTTTCTTAAATATTAAACTTTACTAGTATAAGTGCCCAATGTTGTGCCTTATTGTTTGATGTATCAATACAATTCAGTACAATGAATATTCAGCGAAAATATAGGAAATGTTAGATGGTTATAACACTTCACGTACACGGTTTGCATAGAAGTTTCAAGAATAGGCTACATATACAAATTTGGGACTATCAAAAATTACATAACGCAAATAAGACAATCATCACATTACAAGGGGCGGGTGTTTATAAAAACATTACGTAAATCCTACGTTTCAACCCTTGGGTAACAGAGTGAGTCATTTTTTGTTTCTGGAGTGTTACACAGCGAACCATTCTGTTTATGCCACTGCTTTCTACGTTACATATGTAGGTCTAATTAATAAAATAATGTAGCGTTCAGCATCCCGTACTATTGCATTATTTCTTAGTACAACGTGCAAATATTTATTGTGGCGAGCTGCATTTTTTTTAATCGTATTTTTAATTTATTTACTTTAAAATATATGCTCTCCACCTCAAATTAATAGTGGTTTGCCCCTGTATATCATACTTTCCCTTTAACAATAGAGTCGTTCCAGTCGTCTAACACCTTTCAGGAGAAAATGCTTGAATTGAAACAACATAACTTTCAGTTTAAACTGGAAGTTCATATATATATATTGTAGTTAATCGGGATCTCCTACCTCTAAGGTTCTCGTCTTTCATCTAACTCCGTTCTCAAAATTAAATAAAGACAGACAGCAACGGACAGCAGTGGGAATTTATAGATATACAATTTTTTTTCAAATTGCAGTCCAATTAAGGGGTTCATCAAGGATATGCTTTATGTTCGATCCTTACGTAGGTCGTACATAAAGCATATCCTCTAATGAGTGGGTTAGTTGTGACAGCCTCACGGAACGTTACAGGGTAGTCAAAAAGTTTAAAAATAACGTTACGTAATTTATGGATGTTCCTCTTAAACTACCGGATAATTTTATACCTAAATATCTGAACTACCGATTTAGATCGACATTAGAATTCCCGCTCTGGTTTGATCTTTTACCAGAATTTTCTAAATTACGAGTATCTAAACTTAAAATTAACTTTTAGCTATTAATTAATCATTTAATTGATTTAAACCGAATTAATTTTACACTCGAATTTGGTCTACATGAAACAAAATTTTAAAAATTTGAACCAGACAATTTATAAGCTTAATAAATTCGTTCTTAAAGGATTCTACTTGCACGTTTACAGCAGCGGTGGCGGAATTCTATTTTTCTGAAAGAAATTACCTTTGTGGTATGAGAAGGAACCAATTAGAAACGCTAATAAATTAGCCAATTTGATGAGCGTGAGAAAACCTCTATTACTTTGATGTCAAGTATATACCGTACTGTCATTTCATTGGCTATCGAAAGCGTTAAGTCTTAGCTTTAGCGGAAAATATTAATTAGCTGCATGATTAACTGTTAGAGAGATACTTTTTGGGATTATTTTCATAATAACCGCTACCACCACTCGACGTTGCCATTAAAAACTTGTAAGTGAAATTAAGCCCTAATGCTGATCTCTGGCGACCAGCCTGGAGTAACCTAAGAGCTACATTTATATTTTTATTTAACTTCAGAGACTTATTACGTTTTTATATAATTTTTTCGAACTAAGTAGGTCGATGATAACCCGTATGAACTATTTTTACTCTTTCGTTGATCCGGTAAATGAGAAATAATATAGATTGTGACATCCACCTCAAAGAACCAAGCGGAAGTGAAATTCATTAATATATATTACAATATTAAATTAAGATATATAGACTTTCAGCAATAAAAGTGTCTCATTGATTGAACTGATAATATAAATTAATTTTGAAGTTTGTAGCAATGGCAGTTCGGGAAATAACATAGCGCGTTTTTAATGGTAAGGGAATTAAATTAATTTGAATTGTTATGATTAAATAAATATCAGATTCAATTGTTAACCTATTTCACACTCTCTAAAATTTGATAAAATGTTTTATTACATTGTACAACGATACCTAGCAAATTATAAATAATAGTTCCATTCTTTTACATTCTTCTACAAGATGTCCACATATTTTTTATCCAGGCGCAAAAGAGATTTTACCAGCATTTCACTAGTTCCACAGTTCGTGAGTATAACGCTTTGTAGTTGTGCTTTACCAATTAACAGACTGCATGACATTGGCCTTTTTTAAACCATCGTTATCTTGAGTGCCACCACCATTGTCAACATCGCATTGTAATTTGCTTCTTGTTCATGTGACAGAAAGATTACGTATTGCCTCGGAAATCCCACGCAATTTAAACGTGTCTGTTTCTTGAATAAATTAATTTATTTTACTGAAAACATCGTAGTGGAACCAATGCACCATACGCAAATACTCGTGCAATATTGAAAAGATCTCTGTAATGTTAAATGAATATCCTGCATAACAGTACACAAGTTTAGATTTATATAACGTGAAACAGATATTCCTTTTTTGTTATAATTGCGATATAATTACCGTATTTTTATTATAAATTAAAATAATATAATATTCAAAATTTCTAAGAAGATAATCTTCAGCAGATTGAAGTATCGTGTAGAGCAATTAATGAAATTTTCTCAAATAATGATAATATTTAAAAATAATCTTGAATGACAGTTCTATACAAAAGTATGGCCAAGTATTTAATTCTTTCTTCCTTGTCAGATAATTTATTTAAAGCAATGTAAAAGCTATTGACAATTTTTTAAAATGGAAAAAATAGCAGCTGTTTTCGGATGAAGACAATTATATTTTGTCGCAAGCGAATTATATTAATTAAACGTATGATTAATGGAAAATAAAATTTTATCAATCACATAAAGACTCTTAAAATTCAAAGAAAATCTTAATATAATTTATATGCAGATTATTTTATAATCGTTTTAAACTGATAAATAAACAATCTATTTAAATTTGTTACCGAAAAATGAATTATTTCATTCAATTAAAAATAATTTTTAAGAGTACTAAACAGTATATTTTGATATGAATATAGCACATTTTGGGTATAATTCAATTAAAATTCAGTTAAAACTAAGTGTATAATTTTTACATTAGAACAATTCCCACTATTTTATAAACAAAACTCAAGAAATCAATGTTGTACTGCTAAAACAAATGCAAATGAATTCAGTTCACTACAACTCCCGAATACAAAATAACAAGATAAACGCATGAAATTTTATTGACTACCCTGGTAGGGAATATTTGATTTGGAATATCTTTTAATGAGTAGAATATTGAGGGAATTACATTTGAAATTGCAGCACGGTCTTACATTTCATTCAGGGAGAAAGCTCTACCAAAATGAAGATGTTACGAGTGGTATTCGTGGTAAACGATTAGAAACTTCGACTCTACAAGGATTTGTTGGTGACATTTTTAATACGAAGAGGATTTTATTATTATAAATTTGTTCCTGAAGGTCAAACAATTAATTAACATGTTTATCTTAACATTTTATGGAGATTACACGAAGCAATTTTCCTGAAATGACCTAAAAAATGATAACAGAAAAATTAGGTAATTTACTCTATTACGGCATTCGATCATTTTTAATGACTTGTTTTCTTTACCCAAAGTTGGAAATAATTTAAACACAAAACGGTTGTATATATATAATATACTTATTATTGTTCATAATTTTAGTATTTTCTTAATTTTTCCAATTTTATCAAATATTGTCGAAATGTACATTTTATTAAACAAAAATATATATTAGGCAAGCGAATAATAATAGAATAATTAATAGAAAAACAGTGAAATACTTACAGGACTGACATGAGATGCTTTAAAAATATGTTTCCTATCAAAATTATTCTTTTTGTAAGGAGCATTATCATTGATATCTTTCACTTTTATCAATCCTTTCATGTAATATATATTTTCTTCCATTTCATTTATCTGACACGAAATACTAAAATTTAATTCGGTATTTTCTTCTGCATCCAAATTCGAAACCAGAGTCAAAAATCCATTCTGTGAATCCACGTGAACAATATCAGAACCTGTATAAAGCAAATTATACTTAAGTAAGTTACAAGAAAGATGAACTAATTAATTTTAAACACACTTACCTGAGCTTACATTGTATGTTACATTATATTTACACACATATCGAGTCGTAAGAGGCAATAAATTGTCAATAATTGTTCCTAATTTTGTATTTTCTAACAGTAGATACGTCGCATCGCTTGATAAAAAGCAGAAATTTGGATTGGGTTCGCAATTATTTGAAATGTCAATTACGTTTACTTTTAATACGGTTTTAATTTCAGAATTTGTCAAAATTTCTATTGAAAAAGTCATATTACCACCTGAAAATAAACGTTAATAAACTCTGCATGAATTGTTGAGTTGTGAATAACTGTAATTAAAATAAATACAGGGTGGGAAAGAAAGTCACTTAACATCCCTGCTACAGAATATAGAATTTAGAATATACCGAAACAAGTCAGGAACAAGTTAGACCAAGGGGAAACAGATTGATGTGAATGACACGCAGACCGCCATCTTTATGGCGGCCATATTGAATGCAACTCCGAAATTTTAAATGGAAAGGGGATCATGTGACACATCATTTAGGTAGAAAACGTTACCGTAATTGATTGCTGAAAGATTTTATTGATTTACTATGAACATTTACAGAGTTATGCACGTTACATGATGCTCTTAATGCACATTCTTTGGGTACATTCTATATTCTGTAGCAGGGGTGTTAAGTGATTTCCTTTTCCATCCTGTATATAGGATGTTCCACAAGTCAGAAATGATAAAAGTTATGTTAATCTTTGTTTATTCTTGTTCAAATAAAGCATGGCTTTGAGTAGAGATGAACGAATTTAGGTTATTTTGATGGTGGAGAAGTTGCCGAAGATTGCGCAGGCTGCAAACATTTAACAGGCTACACCCATATTTTTCACCGGTCTGGATTCAGGTTGTTAAACTTTTGGTAAATTCTACAGATTGCATGTCATCATCATCAAAATAACTTGAATTCTACACTCAGAGCCATGCTTTCTCTTTAAAACAGAAGATCAACATAGCTTTTGACTTCCTGTATATAAGCATTTATATGCAAATGTTTAATAAACTTATAATATGAATAAAGTTTTTATAGTTTATTAATTTTAATAAAACGAAGAGTAAAAAGTACAGTACCTTTGTGCGAGAACGAATCTAGAAGACTGATGCTTCCATTATTTTTATTAATATGAAAAAGTTTCCTTTTTATTTCATGCCTTTTATTATGATAAATTTTCAAAACTTTCCCCATTTTAAAGCTTGGTTTCTGTTCAGTACGATAGCCATTATCGACCAAAGTTAAATGGTAGAAAGGCACTCCTACAGGAAAATCAGCAGGAAGAAGGATCGAAGTTTCACGTGGAAACCACGTTACACCTGTTAAATAAAGTAAATAGAATAAGAAGATTAAAATTTTTTACCGATATATAAATTAATTTCTTGCGTATTTAGTAAAGATTAATATTTTTAAATATTAAATTAAAATATCAAGTGAGATAAAAGAAGTTCCATTCAAAGCCATTATCAAGAGGGGTAATTTTCAGCTGAGTTCTAATCTTTAATTTTCAATTAATTCGAATTTTTATGTTAAAGTACTTTAAATTATTGCATAATTAAAGTTATTTTAAACAGAAGAATTTAATAATAATTAACAATTTCCTTAAATATTTTAAGCGAATGTTAGTAATGTAGAATGTGTATACTATTGATGAATGAAGATTAAACATTTATTGACACTAAAATTCTTCTGCATATTATCGGTTAATTTTAATTATAAATCAATGTAATAGTAATGTCAATTAATAATATATATTAGTTTTAATTTATTCATAAAGTAAAAGTTAAATATAAATAATCTTAATACTTTTATAACAATTTTCCAATTTAAAAATAAAATAAACGTTTAAAAGTAACTTTATGTATATAGAAAATAATTTAGAATTTTACGTAATAAAAATAATGTAAATTTTTGTATGATTTATTAATTCATTGTTTCTTATTATGCAAAAATTTATTGTGAAATATTTCAAAATATTTGTAATAATTACGGTTTTATTTTCCTTAAAAATCATTTTTACTGCAGTTTTTTAGATTTATTAAATATTTATCGACAATAAACAAGTATTTATAATATAAACTTTATATAAGTTTAAGTATTTTAAAATCAATTTTTCAATCGTAAATAAAATTTTTTAAATATCTGTTCTTTCGAGGAATAAAAGCTTCAAAACACGAATAAAGTTATCAGAATATTTTATATATTTTACCAATTTTCCTACGTAAAATCGACTGAATTTATCAAGTTCTTATCATTCTCATGACAGTTCCCAGTCGTTTATATTCATGAAACAAAAATACGATGTTGAAAGCGACGAAAGAAACGCATTTATCGTCAAAAAATATACTTTTTCCTATTTTTTTATATTTCAATTTTAATCAAAATATCGAATTTTTCCAGAAAAATTACAACTTTAATGTCATTATTTAACGTGAACGACCACATAAATATCTCCATTGAACTAAATGTGGGCGAAGAATATTGCAAGCTTAACTTATATTTCCAGTCACGAACCTAAAGGTTACCAGGCTACTTTTCGTCGAAACCTTCGTGATTACATTTACGATACGCCATTTAAATCGAATTCTCGCAAAGTTGTATACAAACCTTCAAATATAACGTCTTTAGTGTACTTCAATACACGTTTGAAATATTAAGCAGTTGCGTCACAGCAGACGTCATAACACACATCCTTCAATTTTTAATATATTATTCATTAAATTGTAAGGTTTATATATACTTAGCCTTAATTATTAATCAATATTTATCTTTCTTTATATATGTGTGGAGCTTTTAATAGTCGTGTTACCGTTGACGTCAAGCCAAAAAATACGTCACAAATTTCGTCATTGTAACAAACAATTCTTAAAGTAGATAATCCGATATAAAAATGTTTGCCGATATTAAATAATAGAATTACAATCAAAATCTTCTAAACTTATTGCAAAATCCAAGTCAGGAACAAGTTAGACCAAGGGGAAACAGATTGATGTGAATGANCGAGAGCCAATAATCATTTTTATTCGAATGTTATGCATGTGATTATTTTTCAATTTTCTGTGGAAGAAATTTCACGTTTTAAAGGAAATTAAGAACTTTTATAATGGAATATTTTATAAAAATAATAAATAAATATTTTTTATAGTATAAAATATGAATTAATTTAAAAAGCATGAAACGAAAATATATTTAATTTTTGAAGAACAAAGTAAATCTTACAATTTAAATCTTATAAATTACAAAAACGTTAACAGTAATTTCTTTCTTGTAATAAATTTTGTAAATTTTATATTTTTATTAAAATAATTATAAATCAAAATTTCAGTTTTGATTCAGAATATTAAAAGTTAATTAACAATTCTGTTTACATTTAAAAACATTTATAAAAATAATAATTTCTTCAAATGTAATTTTGATATTTGAAAAATAAAATAAAAAAAATTATATTAATAACTTTATGCAATAGAAAAAGTTGAATTCTCGCCAAATAAAATCATTTTAATTATCATAATTAACGCATTAACTTATCGAATATAAAAGATATTTATCTTGCCTTCGGCACAATCGATTAATCCATGTGAAAGGGTTGTCATAGATGCTGTGTAGAGTCCAACTCGAGAAACTAACGAGCTCTTTCTATTGATTTATTTTATGAACGTCCCACCTTCTCTAATAGCAATTTATTACTTATAACCCGTTATTATTGTTATTACCATATTCATAATCTTAAAAAGTTAGTTTTAGTTTGTTCGTTATGTTGTGGCCGCGTAATTAATTGAAATGGAATATTGCAGAGTTGTATTAATATTTGTGAATTAAACTCCGAAAAATGAGAACTTTGAATATTTTATCATTAGACATTACAGTGCACAGAAACAATAGCTGTGCTGTTTTCTTTATTGTTCTTTTTAAATTGATGGAAGTGTAGAACATCGATAAAAATCAACAAATTGAAGAAAGAAAAAGCTATTTTTAGCTTCTCAGTCCCTACTGAGCTCTAAAAATGGCATTCAAAATGGATTTGAAATAACTTTGTTTCGATTTAAACTTTCTATATAATGAGTATTATGATGCAAACTAATATCAATACGTGTGGTAATACTATAGGCCTACATGATTCATACAACCTATACGGCACTATAGATTACTGATAAAACGTTATTATATGTGATTTATTTTCTTAGAAACTTTACATAATTTCCGAAGAATAAAAAATTGCACTTATGAAAATTAAAAAAAAAGAAAAAAAAATTAATGTAATATGTGAATATATTAGCCACAATGAACTGATATATTCACAGCTTACACGACATTGACTAATAGTGTCAAGTCACACTAGATATATGCGATGATGTGCCAAAAATTGATTAAAAAACACATGTTACTCTGATCAGATTGGCGGTCTAGTGTTTTCAATAGCTACTTGTTTATCATTTATTTCACTAGCTAAAACTGCAACCAATTAGTATTTATTTATTTTTCATGTAAAAAGTTGGCAAGTTTAATTAACTATTTAATATTCCACAGGTAATATTAATGAATAAAGGCTACTTAAAATTTCTCATCAGTCCAAATTATAAAAAAGAACAATATGATAAAACCTTCGGGCTTTATTTAACTTATCTCTTCAAAATGTTTATCTTAGTGGCGATGTTGACTTTTCTCGTATACTTAAAAGAAGATAAATAGTCCGAGAATATCCACAGACAGACAAAGCAGTGTNTCGTTAACATGATGATAACGATAATTGTATAATTTTTGTTTCTTGTGTAAGAATTTCATTTAGGTATTGTCACAAATGCATTTTTTTGATGAAATTTTGAGAATATTTTCAATTACAAATAAATGAATTTGTGCATTCGACATCATGTTGTAAATTGCCGAATTTTTGATGGTCCACCCATTATTTTTTTGATTGCTTCATCTCATGCATTTAAATTTTAAATAGATCGATTTTAGATTGCTGCGCATACCCCTTCACACGATTTCGCGTACCACTAATTGGGAACCATTGAGCTATTCAAAAGAATTTTTTCCAAATATATATAAATTATTGAAGACTTTTGACCAATCTTCTGGTTACAATAGCAATGTTCTAACAGTCATTTTCAACATAAATTTTTAAAAATCTACTGTTATTAGAATAAGATATTTTTCAATTCAACATCAGAAAAGTGATTAAGTGAATTTGTTTCCCTTTATATATATATATATAAAGATGTATGTATTAACAGAGGTGTTAAATATGTAGGAAAAAGAAATGGCAACTCAGCAGTTTAATTATATCAAATTAAACTGCTACATTATTTTGATTATATTAAATTATTGTATTTGTGTTGTGATTTGTTTAATGATTTTATGAAATTATAAAATAAAACTGAGATTGAATACAGATGCATTTAATTTCTTGTGTTGAGTGAATAAAAGCACTGATCAATAGTCGTTCGAGCTTTATCAAGGGGTGAGTTCGAGCCTCATCAAGAGGTGTGTTCGAACTTCATCAATGAGTGTGTTTGAGCCTCATTAAAGGGTGTATTCAAGCTTTATCAACGGGCGGGTTTCAGCTTTATCAAAGAGGGTTTGAGCCTGATGAATGGGCTCTATGTCGAGTTTTTTGGATTTTTCCTCCCACTTATCTAACACTTAAACAGAAACCAGTTTTTCATTGAAATTCCTCCGGGGGGCAAATAACCCTTGGCCCATATGTTGTGTTGTTGTATTCTCTATTCTCTAAACAAAACCACTTTTGTCCTATTTTTATAAAGTTTTTAAATTAAATAAATTTATATTTTAATCTTGACTCTACATATGAATTTCCATAAAAAAAACTTTTAAAGAAAATTTAATCTTAAAATTTTGCATAAATAAAATTGTTTTTACATGAATAATTAAATATATGAGTTTATACTAAGAAAGAATACAGATACAATTGCATAATTCTAATTAGCTCAAACACTTATATTTTATAAATTCATCAGATTAACAAAAAAGATGGAAGAGAATGCTTGAAATAAGTATATTTTCTATTAAAATATGCAAGAAAATGATTATTATGTATAGAAATAACGATGTAGAAAAGACATTATCTGAAAAACACAATAGTTTCAATTGCATATTTCTACAATAAATAATTCGGAAGAAACAGAGCGTAACAGAATGTTCTATTTCTAAAATTAAATATTGCATGTAGATAAACATATATANATTAATTTTAACTCATTTATGAAATTTAATTTTGATTATATTAAATTATTGTTAAATTAATTTTGTTAGCATTTCTTTATTAAATTATAAAATAAAACTGAGATTGAATACAGATGCATTTAATTTCTTGTGTTGAGTGAATAAAAGCACTGATCAATAGTCGTTCGAGCTTTATCAAGGGGTGAGTTCGAGCCTCATCAAGAGGTGTGTTCGAACTTCATCAATGAGTGTGTTTGAGCCTCATTAAAGGGTGTATTCAAGCTTTATCAACGGGCGGGTTTCAGCTTTATCAAAGAGGGTTTGAGCCTGATGAATGGGCTCTATGTCGAGTTTTTTGGATTTTTCCTCCCACTTATCTAACACTTAAACAGAAACCAGTTTTTCATTGAAATTCCTCCGGGGGGCAAATAACCCTTGGCCCATATGTTGTGTTGTTGTATTCTCTATTCTCTAAACAAAACCACTTTTGTCCTATTTTTATAAAGTTTTTAAATTAAATAAATTTATATTTTAATCTTGACTCTACATATGAATTTCCATAAAAAAAACTTTTAAAGAAAATTTAATCTTAAAATTTTGCATAAATAAAATTGTTTTTACATGAATAATTAAATATATGAGTTTATACTAAGAAAGAATACAGATACAATTGCATAATTCTAATTAGCTCAAACACTTATATTTTATAAATTCATCAGATTAACAAAAAAGATGGAAGAGAATGCTTGAAATAAGTATATTTTCTATTAAAATATGCAAGAAAATGATTATTATGTATAGAAATAACGATGTAGAAAAGACATTATCTGAAAAACACAATAGTTTCAATTGCATATTTCTACAATAAATAATTCGGAAGAAACAGAGCGTAACAGAATGTTCTATTTCTAAAATTAAATATTGCATGTAGATAAACATATATAATTATTCCATATAGATAATTAAATTAATTCATCCTTTACAAAATTTAATTATATAATATAAATTATTTCTGATTGCAATATTTAAGGTATTAATTTAATTTAATGCGCAGGCTTATCTCCTTCATCTCTAAGTACCATTATTACCCTATAGATTCAAAGTTTGCAAAAAATTATCTCATCTAATTTTAATTAATAAACATTAATTGTGTTTACATTTAGATAATATATTTTATTTTTTATTTTTTAATATAAACAAAAGAAGAAACCGGAAGTTTAATTAACTAATATTTGATAATCAAAGTTTATAAAGAACTTATTTTCGTATGAGTTAAATTATAGATTTAATTATCTCTATTTAAAAGATAGATTTAATTAAAATTAATATAAAAATGATTATTCCTTACTTAAAATGTATTATATTAACTGGTAGATTAATTTAAATTATTTGTTTCTATATTAATAACTTGTAAGTTTAAAATTATAGAATTTCCATCTTGATTTTTATCATAAATTCTTCTAAGAGGATAAAAATAGCGTTTAATTTTCCATATATTCCCCCCATAAATTTTTCTTTTCCAAAAACATTTAATTTGAATTATTAATAAAATAAATTGCTACTGCGATATTAATCAATCCATTTTTCACACTAATCGAAATGGTTTTCTTCTGTGTAATTTATTCAAATAATCATTCTTATATCAAGAAATATCTCATTTATAAACTGGAATGTTTGTACGTCTGTCTGTTCTCTATATATTTCTATACCCTTTGATTAATTTGCATTAAAGTTTTCACACTGAGAAATATATAGGCTACCATAAAACCTTGTAACCTTACCCTACCCTCATTTTATTCCCTGTTTACACCTAAACCCTTTGATCGATCTGCACCAAATTTTTCATACGCTTTCTCTAGAACCCTGTGGAATATATAAGCTACCACAAAACTTTGAAACTCTATTCCTCCCCTGATTTCATTCCCTATTGACTCCTAAACTCTGCTGAAAGTTCTTAATACTCTCTAGAACCCTGCGGAATATATAGTCTACCAAACACCTCTTGTTCTCCCTGATTTAATCTCTTTGACATTTCATGATAAACATAACAAAGGTAGCATTTCTACATCAAGAAATTTCTATTTATAATATCAATATTAATTAGAAGCATTAATATAAATTCATCCCAGAATAATTAATTTTAAAGTGTTTTAGTATTGATAAAAATTAATTGCTATTATTGTAAATTAAATATTTAAATAATAAATATAAATTAAAATTATTTTTAGTACAGAAAATTTATAATTATATCTTTAAAATCTAGCTGTGTGTTGTATTGCATTTATATTAGTTTAGCTTAGAAAGTATTACAAAGTTTAAAATACTGTATAAAATCAATTGTTACGTCATGCTATGTATTTTAGCTAAGATAATCTTGTTGATGGGCATCAATCAGATGGGTCATTGGCCTCCTCTCATACTGAGAATAGGAAGCGCAGCAGCTGTTGTGGAGTTCCTCTTCTGACCCTCTAAAATTACATAGTGAAACGGTTATAATATATTCTAATAATAAGAAATATATATTAATGCTTCCACATAATAAAATTTGAGGACTTCTCGTGTATAAAAACAACATTAAATATCGTTCTAAAACACTTTTCATTTGTAAAAACTGCTGCAACTTTGCTATTTTTAAAAGATAAAAGTTAATTTAAAAAATGTTTTTAACTCTAATAAGCCAAAAAACTAGATTATTATAAGATATTTTTTAATCGAATTTAATAGAAAATAATATTAAAATAATATAACCCTTGTTGAGTCTCATTCATTTCCTTAAGACATCTTCACTCGACTGGAAAGAGACCTTTACAGGATTTATGAATTATAATCGATTATAGAATTGAAAACTGGCCAATAAAAATTAATTATTTTTTATATTTAATAATATATAAAAATAACTTAAAAATAATTTATCAGAAATTATTTTTATCGCTAGCTTTAAAAAATTGCATTTATTTTAATAATATTCAAACTCGAATATCATAATCTGGCTATTAATTTAAAGAACTTCCGTTAGAGCAATAAAACTGTCAAACTTAAGTTATTTCTCTGCAAAAAAATAATTTTACTTATACAATATATAATTCTGTAGACGTTAAATTATATAATAAATGTAAATATTATAATATTCTAACGTATATTATGACGTATAATTTTTTTTCATAAAAATTATAATTAAACAGTAACTACATACAGAATTCTATTAGAAATTTTTCATATGCTTCATCTTCGACTAATTATTTTAAATAGAAACGTAACATATAACTAAACATTGCAGACATTAGATATTGAATTTTCGATATGCACACAAGGATTTAAAAAAATGAATTTAAATTACATAAAATGTGAAGTGCATTGACAAATCTTCGATTATAACGAATTTAATACAGTGTGAGAAGGGAAAACTCACCTTGCACAATATGCATAAACGTCATAAACGAATATAAACACCACATTTGGACTGGCGTGGCGTGATGCATGTTGATCCGACAGTCTATGCATGCTACGAGTATTGTACGTGTATGAGTACAGTTATCTCGCTATCCAGTTCGATTTTGCGCATGTGGGTGTGAAGCTGTCATTGACTTACATATTAAAAACCATAGCACGTTTAACTTTTACCTTAAGCTAATTTTTGGGGTGGGTATTTTTTTTATTACATGATCTATGCGCCTATTACATTGCGTGATGATACTGCACGTCTTATTTTACTGCTATTATCTATCCAAGATGTTCTTATAATGATTTATGGCAACTTCAAATGATATTTAAATTCATTTTAAATTAAATTTTATTCCGTATTACGTCCAGCATTCGTTGAAATTGCATAATTTGTACACACGTATACCTAACAATACAAAATTTATGATACTGGAATACTGCGTTTAACTGGAAATATATCTATAGAGATCGCTAATAATTTGCATATCAAAAATATATTATTTACATAACAATTATTATAATTACACTTATATCTTGAAAAAGTAACGTTACGAATGATGGATTAGCATATTGTTTAATACCCCCGCCACATGGATACGTGCTATTTAATATATTCTGTTTAAAATATTATTATTTACGTTTTGTTTAATTTAAATATTATATCGTTTAAATTTTAGTGAATAATTACATAGGAGCATTCATTACGTCAATATAGTATGCACTATTATGTTGTTTTGTCGTCATTCATTTTCAAGAATGACGTCAAATTTGAGTTTCTTTATGAAAAAGTTTGATAATGACGTCATTTTGACGTAAAGTATACACTATTTGGACGAAAAGAATGCACCTCATAATTCTTTATGAGATGAAATTAATAAATCTAATAAACATTAGCATACGTTAAATTAATATATTTTAGTATGATTTTATAAACAGTTAGAAACAACACTACAGTCAAATCTCGATATAACGTCTTTCTATACAGCTCCACTCTAATACAACGCCAAATTAATGTTGGTGTATCTCATAACTATTAAGTAGTAGCCCCTTTCGTTATGTCGGAATTACCAAATGTAGGATTTTGCATTGAAAAGGACCATGTTATCACCAAATTATACGCTCAAACTTTATGTAGAACGCAATAGAATAGGCTAAATTATTTATGATTCTTTGGTTTAGCGTAACACTCGATTTAGTGACAATTTCAAAGACGAACAAATAGTGGTGCAATATCGAGGTTTCGCTATATAAAGTTTTAAATTTTGATGATTATTAAGACTGTTCATTATTTAAGCTTATTCAATCGGCCTCTAAACAACGGCCATTGTCAGAAACAAAAAAAATTGGCCATTTTATGGAGATTACTTTAATGCATTTCTAGAGCAAACATTTCTGAAAATTGTCCGCAGTTTAGAGGTGGCCGTGTTTTGGAGGTTGAAATAAATTTGATAATAAATTGTAAATATAATTTTTATTTTTAATTATAAAAGTTTCTTGGTTATAACACACGAATGTAAAAAACATTTTTAAGTAGAAAAATCAATTTTTTGTTGTTTTATTCATTTCTAAAAGTTTTAAAAGTTTATTAATTGATGTAAATGGCTTCAAAGTGGTTTGTTAAAAGATATAATATGAATTAATTCGCTATAAATTATATTGGAGTGCTAGAAAATTGCTTATTAAATCTAATAATAACTACATTAGATGCATAATTTTATTATTAAATTTGATCCAAGCTGATATTTACTATTTTAAATCGTGATAATTAGCATATAATATAAACCGTCAAACATGCGCTTATTTATATAATAATTTGAAGAATATTTTAATTAATTTCTAGTGATTTAATAGGTATTTTGAGAGTTATGACGCTTTAAAGTTGGTACTGAAGAGAAGCTTCTAGCTCCTTTGCATTCTGAGAAAGATAAAATTCGATATTATGTCTGCTACGAAGAACTTTATTTCAATCACGTAACTCACCTTGTCTTGTCATGGAGGAAAAACAGGAACGCCGAGACAATTGAATCGCCAATACAAAAATATCACTATTAAACCAGTAATAGTATACTTGAGAATGTGTGAGACTTACTATAAAATCTGTCCTAAAACCAAAATAATTTTTCGTTGTCAAATTGATCTCATCGACATGCAGACGACCCCCAATTATGCTTACAAGTTCATCTTAGTTTATAAAGATCAATTGAAATTTGTACTTCTGTAGGCTTCAAAACTAAAAGAGCTGAAGAGGTAGAGATCATCTTATGAATGTATTTTACTATTTTTTGGGGTACCAAATACAGTATTTTTATAAGCAAATACTTTTTGATCAAATAGACACAAGTGGATACTTCATGGATAATAGACACGAATTTGCATTTAGAAAGATGTTAAAAGCGCCATGAGAAATCATTCCGTTCTCAATCATAAGAATCTGTTGAATATGCCAATCAAGACGTAGATGAAAACTAATCAAACAAGTAAATTTCAGAAGGTATAACATTGGTGCGTAAGGTATAATATGAATACGAGCTTATCACGAGGCATAAAACGATGCTTATGAAACCATGTTTGGCTGCCTAATAAAAGTGAGCATTGTGAGTACTTTAGTTTCTCATAACGTGATTGAAAAAATAAATAGTGAGAGGATTTGAAAAATATCTTGAGAAAAGAAAAATGAAATAGTGGGTTAATACTCTAGCGATATTAAATATTAAAATGAGAGGTCAACAAGAAATGGTTGGCTGAAGAAACCGATATTTGGAACACGATAAAACAGAGAAAATAATAAAAAAAATACATAAATCTAGAAATTGAAAACTGTAAAAAATATTCAATCACAAGATAAACCAATACCAAGTAGAAAGGAAACAGTTACAAACAAATCGAGGGCGGAGCAAGAGAACATAAGAACCGGAAAATGAGAATTACGTCTTTCTTCAAACGCCCAGAGCTTAAGATTGGCCAAAATATGAGAAATTCCTTAAATCGACAAACTTAAGATTGATGCTACGTGTTCATTTGCATATGAAAGACGAAGAATTTATAAACTCGGAACACTAGCAGGAAAATTGAGGCAAATTTATACCAGAAACCAGCTGGAAAAGCTGGGGGAAAAACAAAATGGGAGTTCGCGAAGTCTTCAGAGGATTTTTGAAGAATTTATGAAATTCAATTGCCAGAAAAAATTGTGAATCAAAAAGATGTTTGTGTAGATCAAAAAGTCCTTCGTGCAACTTACGACAGTTTAGTGTGCTGAACTAAGCAGTTAGAAATAAATTATAGTAACATAACATATATGTAAGTGAGCGTTTTATTAAAATTAGAAATATTACAATTATTCAAAATGATTCAAAAATTATAAATTTTATCAACCAAACTATACTAACATTTACTCATTTCACAAAAATACAAGTATTCTAATAAGTTTACCATTTTAATTCTTTACCTCTTTACGAAATCTGCTATTTTATAAGTATGTTAAGCAACTTTTGACTCACTCTGTATACAAATTATTAGTATAGACACTACAGATTAGTACTACTATATACCTTACTATATTAGTACTACTACCATACTATAGATTAGAATACTGATCTATAGTAAAACAGATTTAAAAGTAGATCATTAATCTGTTAACTTTAGTCATAACAATCTTTAGAATATGTGCTTATGAACCTAAAAATTTTAATATTTAGTAAAGAATTGTAATATTTTTATTATTATTTGGTGCTTTATGTCCATTAAAATAAAATATTTTCCGATTAAACTCTAAAACCAATACTTTATTCAGTTTAGTTTTTAATTTAACTTTTAAACTTAACAACTAGATCGGTTGTATACATTTATAGTTAATTCGAATAACAAATAAATTATTTACAATCATTTTTCCCCCTATTCAAATTTATTATATTAAAAAACATTTGGGAAAGGTGACAAATTTAAGTAATTTATTCGCACAATTTTATTTTTAATTAAGCTAAAACTAGGAAATATATATTAACTGTAACAATTAACCTAAATTTAGTTCCACTTAACGTGGTTTATTAAATCATACTCCCACCTTATAACTGTTATAAGTTATGAAAATCAACTTATATAAATTGTTTGTCTTACTAAAATTAATACAAATTTTTAAATAACTTTAGTGCGTGCCTCGAGTTATAATAACGTGAGTCGAAATATTTTCTGTAAACGTTATGGACGAAGATAGGTGGACGGGTTATCTTCCAAGAATCCATTTAAAATATAGTTTTATGTAATTCTAGTTAAAATCTCACAGGGGATGTTTATGTGATATATTGTGGAAAAACGTAACGATTTTTGTCTTCCTGTATGATGCGTGCAAAGTTCGTCTTGCATAAATCAATAACAGACAGTCGACAGAACAACTACAGTCAACCACACCTAAAAGTTCATTTCTTAACACATTTCATTACATTTTTCTTAGCGATGTGCCTACTGTCAGGGATTTTGAGAGTTTGTATAGTGCTTAGGGTAGAGTGAGAGTCCCTGTTGCTATATTTTTAAAACAAATGAAATAAGGTTTTAAAGATTTTAGTTTTTATTCAATAAAATTAATATTAATTTATTTGGGTAGGAACCATTAAGTTTTTCCTGGATCTGGAAAAACATTCCCAGCTTTCGCTCCCGACTATTCTGTACGCTGTTCTAGTTGTGTTGCTGCACAGATTTAAGTGTTTTGATCTTGTTTCTTGTTTTCGTTGATAAAATTACGAAAAAAATTTATAATTTAGTCGGAATTATTTTATAATATTTATTTTAAAAAATAATAACAACATTATTTCTTTATTATAATTGAATAAAGAGATTTTAAAAGAATTTAAAGTAAATTCTTTTGCTGTAAATAAAATTCTGCGTGCTCTTTATCGATCACTGTATAATAAATATTTTAAATTATTTTATTATATTGAAAGAAAAGGGTTTATGTGATAAACCTGTAAAATTATTGTCAAATACATTACGATATTTCGAATGAATAATAATTATTATAGATGAGTAATTTATATATTTACATAGAAAAAAACTGGATA